TTATTGCGTTTTTATAATTGTGATTTATTTATTATCAGTATTCATGTGTATATGAAGGTAAAACTTTCGATAATTTCAAAAATAAATAAAGAGATTAAGATGGAAATGTTTACTATTACTTTAAAAAATGTTTAGATTTAAGGCGGCGTATTCATAGTCAAGATTAAGTCGACACTTAAGTTAGTTCGCATCCTTTTGACATAATTTTCAAAGAAAATGTCGGCCAAAAGCAAACCCAATTTTCTATGATAATGTCTGTAAAAAATGCTGCTACTAAATTTATCATAATACTTTATTTCGACTATGAATATGCCCAAATTTCGTTTGGTATATTCTTCCTAAAAGAGGAACAATAAAAAAAATCAAACCAAAATGAAAATTAAATGTTTTTTTGAAATTTTTTAAGTCAAAAAATATTTATTTGCCATTTTTAAATATTTTGAAAATTTTCGAAAAATAATAGTTGCAATTAAAAAAAAATATTAATTTAGCGAAGTTTTGTATTTCGACTATGAACATGCCCCAATTTCTTTTCTTTTATATTCCTCTTAAAAAATGTAAAAAAAAAAATTCATACCAAAATGAAATTTAAAATTTTTTAAGATATAACGAAAAATTATTTATTTACTATTTTCAAATATTTTGAAGTTTTTCGAAACTTAATACCCATATTTTTTTTAAATGTTAACTGCGATTTAAAAAAAAAAATGAATTTAGCGAATTGGTCAAGCGTAGACACATGTGAGCCGCGGTTTCGAAATTTTTCGAAGAAAATTTGGAAATTGAAATAATTGTACTTTTAATTAAAAAAACTCTTAAAATCGCACAATTTTGGCTGTAATGAAAAATTTATCATTCGCAAATATTTATTAAATACATATATTGAAAGTTTTCGAAAATCCTAGGTTTGGAAAAATTTTTGTTTCAGTTGAAAAAATCTCAATTTCAGGTTTTCTGTTCAAGCGTGCAGATTTATGTTCGCACGGTGTGAAATTTTTAAAAATTTTGAAATTTTCGAACACTCAATTTTTTTGATTAAACTTAAGTTTCAATTCACGAAACCTTACATTTTTAGAAACTGAAAAATTTTCCGAAAATATATATATTTTTTTAATATTAGTGTCCCCCGAAAAAACCTCAATGACGCGCATTATTTTTTAAAATTTTTTAATATGCTGAAAATTTCGAACAAAAAAATTTGTTTTAATTAAAAAAGAAACTGAATTTTTTATCCAAGCGTGCACTCGTTAGCCGCACCTCGGCTTTCGTCGCTCCCTTTGCCGGCCAATTGTCGACTGCGTTGTTTTTTTATATTTCATTAATTTTTGTTTTTGGTTGACTAGTGCGTTATTTTGTGTGAAAATGCGATTTATAGCGTTTAATGTACACTTCAGTTCACATTTTAGTTTAACTATTATTACTTGCGGGGGATAACGAGGAGATGATTCCTAACTTTTTTCTAATACATATATGTACATATATTTATATAAACCAAGCGTTGTACTTGTATTCGCTTATGTTTTTTTTTTTCGAAAAACCTTTAGGCTACTTCAGTTTGTATGTATTTACAAAAGTGTCAGAATGCACTTTAACCGCATTTACAATATTTGGTTTTTGTATATGTGTGTGTGTGTGACCCGATTGTGCATTGATGTTTACAATTTTATATTAAAAAAAATATTTTAATTAAATAAATAAATGTTTTTTCTCTTCACTTCTTAATGCTATAACTAAATGTCATTCAAGCGTGCTTGAATGCACATTTATGTGTGTGTGTGTGTGTGTTTTATTTATTTACTTTTATTTTCAAAATTAATTCAGTCTTTGGTATTATCACAACATTTGTTTATACGATTTGGGGGTTTTATTTGCGTTCGATGCAAAATATTTGAATATGAAAAACAAGTAAAAAAGTAACGAAATTAAATGATAAATTAAACAAGAACTGTAACGAAAATATTTAGGTGCTTTAAACGTTAGAGTAATTGTTAACAAAAAAAAAAATTAAATATAAAAAGGATTAACAAAAATGCGCAAAATTAAAATATTTAGTAGGAGTAAAATTTGAAGTTTGCGATATTTGCTATTTTAACTTCCTAGCTGTTTGGTTAATTAACGCGCGCGCGGCACTAAATTCGAGCGTACTTTCATTTGAAATATTTTTTCTTATTTTCTTCTATGCTAACTGCATTTTTGTTAATCTCTCTTGCTTGCTCAGCCAAACTTTTTCACTAAAACTTTTTACGAGTTATTTTGTTTTTTTTTTGCATCCTCTTCGCTTAAATTGTCCATAATCGCAAACAGACTTTTTACGACACGCCCAAATCGTACAACAACTGTTGTGCCACAACTTCGCTACGCTCCTCTACCAGCTGCCCGGTCATCGTGTTGATCAGATTGAAAACGATAGCGAAGACAGTGAAGGCGCTATAGACGCCCAACGCCAGCCACCAAATAAGATTCTCATAAGCGCGATGTTCGAAATTCTTCAGCACCAGTAGGCCGATGGTGAAGCCCGCCAGCGCACCGGTCATATGAGCGACATATGAGACTGGTGGGGGATCAAGATTGGGCCAAGTGCGATCGATGTGTGTCGGCTTGATCGCCGCGTCGGCATCGAGATATTGTGAGTATAGCGCATAACCCAGATCGCAAGAAACTGCAAGAGAGGAGAGAATAATAGAAAAAAGTGCGGAGATTAGCAGAAGTTTGTTTTGATTTGGGGTTCAGTTGCTTGAAGAAACTATATAGAAGTAAACAAAAAAACTAATATGGGGCACACTAAAGAGCTTGTGGAATGAAATGTGCCCGCTGATCAGTAGCCCGTTTCTGTAACTTTTCTCTACCGATTATTTCTCTACTGGTAGAGAAAATACGTGACTCTCACCTACTAGTTAGCAGTAGAGAACAGGGCGGCGAATTCATATCTCAATTCGCCTTGGTAGAGAATTGTTACAGAAACGAGCTACAGAAACCCAAAAAAGAAAAAACAAAAACATGTCAACGCAACTCGCACATTTCAACTACACGCGTTAGTAAATAAATCAAAAAAGCATAAATCGCTAGCACTAATACCCATTGGCCCATTAGCTTCGTAGCCCCTTTATTTATTGTAAGTGAGAAAAAGAAAATTAGTTTTCTAAACTCACCAAATATCAACACCGACAACAATTGCGCCACCGCATAACGCATCTGCCTGTAATTGAGTGTTATGTTGGCCAAGTGTGCGGCAAGCATTGCGTATACGCCACCGCTGGCGCCCACCAAATACACCTCCGAGTCGACTACGCTGGTGCCCAGCGAACCGGCAAAAACGCCCGCACAGTAAATGATCGCCACACGCGCTGAACCGTGCATCACCTCCAGCGGGATGCCGTAGAAGAGTTGAATGACCACATTGAAGCCCAAATGAAACCAGTTGGCATGTAGAAACATATAGGAGAGGAAACGCCACACTTGTAAACGACGATCGGGACGATAGATGAAAACCGAATCGGATGCGATGGGCATGTGTGGGATGAGTTGACGTGTTGTTGCCGTGCCCGGCACTGTGGCTGAGTCGTAAGCGAAAATTGCGATCTGTAAGGAGAAGAGAGCGAAGAGAGAAAGAGGATTAGCATGTGTGTGTTATGAGTATTGATAAGACATTTATTACAGCTAGCTAAGATATGAATTTAGTTAGAGTTTATTTGTAAGTATAACACTAAAGTTTCAATAATACGAGTATAAGTTAATTTTTTTATTGTAAGAATTGTACTGAAAGTAAAAAAGAAATCCTTAAAAAAAACTTTAAAAAGCTTTCGATTTATCTAAATTTACATTAATTTTTCAATATCCAACAAATAATTCAGAAATTTCGAGATCTAAATTTGTAGGATTTTCCGCTAATTTTTAGTACAAAATGCATTCAATTTTTGAATTTAATAAAGCAAAAACCGAAATTTTGAAATGCCGAAATCGGGCTTACGATCTCAAAATCCCGAAATTAATAAAACCCAAAATTTTGGGAAATCAATTTTAAGGTATTTCCTTAAATTCAAGCCCTGCATTTAATGATGTCAATACCGAAATTTTGGGATTTCGACATAATACTTAATCTATGTATCTCGAAATCCCGAAATTAGTAAATTTTTTTTTTTTTTAATTTTGAGTTTAAATTTAAATTTTTGAATTAAAGGAGGCTAGTCCCGAAATTTCGGTATTCCGAAACTGCATCAAAAATATCCAAAAACTTTAAGGTCTAAATTTATAAGAATTACCGAAAATATTATTCCTGCATTAAACCAATCCCGAAATTATACCCAAAATATTCCGAACTTTCAAAATTTATAGTATCCCTAAACTTCAGAGTCCTGATTTACATGAATTTCCTTAAATTTTGAGTACTACATTGAATTGCTGAATTAAACGAGGCCAATTCCGAAGTTTCGGCATTCCGAAATTATACTAAAAATATCGCAAAATGTCGAAAAACACATTCAGGTTCGCCAATTTTAACATCCCCCAAATTTTCTACCTCCCCTGCCAATTTTATGTCTTGCCAATGTTATTTAAGCATTTTCCTGTCCTGCCAACAACCGCGCTCAACTTTTTGCGTTGCTCATTACTCCTTCATAGTTTACGAATTTCACTGCTGATTAAAAAGTCAGCTAAAAGTCAAGTTTTTAAAACAACCATCAACTTGGCAAAGCAGCTACTTAATATAAAAAGAGAGGATTATGGTTTTTGCAGGCAGAAGTTGAGGTGAAATTCATTTATAGAGTTCCTGTCCGCAGAAAATTCACATAAATTTTCTTCACATTGTGCGTTCACTTGTCACAAATGCGTGCAATGCAGTGAAGTAAATTGAAAATGCACGCTACGGTAGTAGAAAAAGGAAGGTATTCGGTGCCAAAAAAGCCAATACATAGTTCAGAAATGCAGCGCAACGACCAAGGATATGCACTTTCAACGAAAAACATGTTTACTCGCACAGACCGAAAATTATGAAAAATGAATAACTAAAAATTATATAAAAAAAAAATTATAGTCACCAGATTATATTTTTGTTTACTCTTTCTTGTCTTTGTAGTCGAATGCTTGTCAACCAAAAAGTTGTTTTCCACTTGTCGAGTGTGCAGTACAAACGAAGCGAAGTTGGTAACGCAAGACAAATTGCTTATCAAAAAACTGCAGTAAAGTAGCAACGGCAATGCGCTCAAGCTTGGGAAGCTCTGGTTTTCCAGAAGTCAAAGTGCGGAATTTTTGTATATTTTTACAAAACATATTTAGCTTTATTAAAAAAAAATTGCAGAAAAATATTTTTTATAGCTAAAATAATTTCTTTTGCTGAACTTCCGCTAGGCATTAAATGACAACATTTTTAATGACAATGTTGAGCATAAAAAAATTTTCGTGCCATTATGTTCACAAAAATAGTCATTATGTCTGTTTCCACATGACATTTTTTGTAATTTCATTGCCTAGTGAAAATTCGGCATTAGTCTTCAAAATTGAAGTAATGCAGTATTTCCACTAGGTATTAATAAAATGAAAAAAGTTTCAATGACAAAATTGGGAATTTCATTAAATATTTAAAAAATGTTTTCTATAATTAAAGGACCTTTGATTAGTATTCAAAATTACTGTTATACCGCATTTCCACCAAGCATTAAATGACACAAGTTTTAGTGACAAAATTGCGCATTAAAAAAATTTAAACTCGATTCCAAAGAGTGTTTTTAAATCGCACAAATTCGTTGCAATTTCAATTCATATTGGAAATTCGGCAGAGCATTTAAATCGATTGTTTGATTTTCATGAAAACATTTGCAAAGTATGTCAAATTTATATAAAAAATTTAATAAGAGTTAGAAATGTTAATGTTACCCCAAAATTACTAAAAATTCAAATTCGTATGAAAATACTAGCATAAAAGATTTTTCTGAAGACAAATTTGTTTTTTGATATATGTGTTCAGCAAAAATATGTTTTTTTTTTTAACTTTATTAAATGTATTTTTTATTACTCAAAATAGAATATCAACTTTTTTACAAAAATATTTTGAGTCTCTTGAAATCACATATAAAATTATTAATTTTCAGCCAACGACCAAAAAAATACCCAAATCTTAAACATTGAACCTAAAATTAACGGATTTTGAAAAACAGCTGCTATGTGAAAACGTGCCATAAGTAAATTGTATTCCGCCATGTGTAAAAGTAAAATATTGAAGTTAGTCTTTAAAAATATGTATACAAAATAAATTTATTAAATAAAATAATTTTCTTTTTTTACATATTTTTAAAAATAATTTGCAACCCTTTAGCGTAGTAAGTTTCTCAAAAAATCTTATAACAGATTCTTAAAAAAAAGTCATGTGAAAAGGAATTAAAGAATATATTTTTATTCAGGCTGTGCAAAACTACGATTCAAAAAAAAAAAACAAAAATTTCGAAAGCTACTAAGCAGAAGAAACCCAATTTTAATCCATTACGTGTAAACGTAGTATAAAACAGATTTAAAAAAGTTAACAGAAGAACACATAGTTAAAAAAGTGAACCCATCTGTCTAAATAGCGCAAATGTATTTAAAAAAAGATTTTAATTCATTAGGTGTAAACATAGTAAGATTTAAGAATAAATTGTAATCCACTGTGTGTAAAAATATCCTTTAGATCCGGCAGTTAGAAAAAAATCTTAAAAAAAACTTTGTGATTCTTAAAAAGCGAATGCCATGCTTTGATCTAAGTGTTAATGCAGTATTGGAAGATTTAAAAATCAAAATTTCAATTCACTTTTTCGAATGAAAATTTATAAAAAAAAAAAATTTCATCCACTCAATGTAATGCGAGCCAGATTCTCATGAATTAAAAAAATTCAAATATATAACGCACAATAGATTTTGGAAATGCTGTTTAATTTAATTCTAGAAAATAAATATAAAATTTGAAAAACTAAATATTTTGTCTACTTAGTGTGAACGCAGTATTAGGAAGTTTCAAAAATTAACCTTTATTTTATGAAGTATTTAAAAAGAAGCTTTAGAAACTTTAAAGCTCTCCTTGTGGTATAAGAATTATACAAAAATTAGCCTCGTAAAGGCTGGTAAAAACTCACAGTACCTTTTCTATTTTCATAACAACGACGCTTGGAATTTCGTGTGTGCAAGAAAGACTAATAAAATTGCTTTTGTGGTTGAGGCAAACATTTTCGTTTGAATAAAAACGCTAGTTGCCGGGGTGCTTTTTGCTATCAAAAAGGAACCGAATGCTAAGGACACAAAAACTGCCAAAATACAGTGCTGTTCATTAAAGAGAGTACAAGCCATATGTACTTGGCATGGCAAATATGTATGTATGTAAATGTAAATTCGTATGCTATGTATAAAACATTCTTCGCTACAAAAATCCTTGCAAAACTCGAATGAATGAATTGTAGGGGCGATACATAAGCTAATGCAAACCTTTTCCTATGTTCTGAACATGTAAGCCGCAAAAATTTTGGAGAACAAAAAACTAGATGGACATGCAGCTGCAGTTATTTAGCAAAAAATGAAAATTGAAAATAAAAAAGCACTCACTTAAAAAACGACAGCAATAAGAATCGAGTCAAATAAAAACTATGAGAGTGGCCAATCTATTAGGACAAACAAAAAAGCAAAACAATAAACTAAAAACCTTCAAAAAAAAAAAACGTGTATGCTATTTTTTATGTCCCCTTGCTTTTTACTGCCATTCGCCGCTCCCTTTGGCTGAGTCACAATTGTGTGTTTGCATTTTTAGCTTTTTTTTCCTTTCTCTCACTCAATATCCTAGTATCCCTTTTGTTTTTGCTTGCCCATGCTGTCATGCATACGATTTTCCTGTTACTTCGAAATTTTTGATTTTGGCATATTTTGAAAGGTCCTTTCCGCCTTGTCTACATTCATTGTTCGCATAGCAAAATATATGTAGCAATAAAAACACAAAAACAAAAAAACTTTTATTGCCGAGTGAATTGTGAAAATAGAAAAGTTTTCGGAAGTACAGTAAAATAAAATTAAAAATGGCAGCGCATAAATTGCATAGAAAAAGGTAGCATAGTTTATAGATAAAAAAGGCGGCAAGGCGCGTGAGAAACACATACACGCAGAATCAAGCTCACTAGACGGCAGGAAGTGTGAGTGTTTTTTTTTTTGCATATATTCAATGCCACTTTTGTGACATAGTGCAGCAAGCTGGGCACACGAGGAGAGTACATATTTTGAAAAAGTCCTCGTCGTAATCGTTGGTGATTTGCTTTTTTTCAATTCGTTATGGAATCGCAACTATGTCTCGCCTTAGATATATAGCGCTACCAGTTAAATGCATACATATGTATGTATGTATTTTTTGTTGTTGTATTTTTTGTAGTTGTATTTTTTGTAGTTGTATTTTCAGTAGTTGTAGCAGTGACATAGCAATCGTAGTAGTTCAAAGTTTATGCGACTAGCAGTGAACAATTGAAATACTTTTATGCTTTTAGTGTACATACATACATACATACATACATACATACAAATGTATGGAGCGCGCACCCAATCAGCTAACTGAATAACCACCCAGCCGAGTCGGCAGACTCGAACGTGCCACAGCCAAAGCTATGTAGAGTCAGAGTCCTAGTACATATACTACATATACATACATACATATATAGACCACAGCAGACAGTGTGTAATCGATTTTGGGGCGCCAGGCGACTCGTGCGCCATTTTTTTCCTTAGCTACAATTGTGTTGGCTTGTTACTTGGGTACGTGAAGCTAATATTGTTATTGTTGTTTCACTGACCGCCGTTGCCACAAGCTACGGAATACATATGTATGTATCTTCATATGTATATATGTATGTATGCATTAAGAGGTAAGTGTAGTTATAGTAAAAGAAAAACTACTTCCGTTTTTGTGTTGTGCCACTTAACATTGCCGCCGTTGCTGCTAACGCCATATTGATTGGTACGTACATAGCAGTTCGTCCTCGTGTTTGTATAAGCGCATTTACATACATACATACATATATGCACATTAGGATGCCTCGTGAGAAAAAAAATTGCCTTTATTAAATGGGAATTACAAAATTCATACAGCCCTATCGCCAATTCCATGTGAATAAATCGTTTCCATAATTTAACATGCAAAACAAAAACAAATTGGGAAAAATTTTGCTTTATAATTTTTGGGAATATTTGTTCATGTGAAATTCGCGGTAGGGCCGATTATATCGCACACGATCTTCAAAAGTGTCACAACTCAAAATTACACGTTCGTCAGAAATGCGAAAAACTATTTCTTAGTACATGCTAATCATATGGGCAAGGGAGACTTTACCTTAGGGGTTGTCAACAAATTATAACAAAAATTTGCTCCAGCTTTTGCTGAAAGCTAATTTAAAGCTCTGTGTACATTTTTAGTGCATATGTAATTTCAAAAATGCCAAATTCTGAGTTGTGCCAGTTTTGAAGATCGAGTGCGATATGACTCTTAAAATATTTCGGAAAATTTATATTTACGCAAGCTGGACTGATTTGAAAGTACACTATAAAACTTAGTTTCTTATAAATTTTTTATTTATTTTGTCAAAAAAAATGACTCAGATGGTAGCGTGTTTAAGCTTAAAAGGTCTACATGAAATGTTTAAAAATTTTATCAACCGAATCAAAATAAAGACATTTTTTTATTTTCAAATCGGTTGCTGGTCACTTATAACTTATTTTTTTTGAGTTATTTTGACAGAAGTCTGAAAATAGAAAAAGTTTTATAATTCCAATTTTGTTGTATGGACAGTGATGCACCCTAATATACCTACATACATACATAGATACCAGATACATGTGAGTGTATAAAATTTTATTTCTTGTATCTGTGCTAGACCATTTATTGGCTGTATAACTTTTTTATTTACAGCATAGGAGTCGTCTGCTGAAAAACTTTGTCACAGGAAGGCGCTGCAGGATTTTTATGAAAATTTATAGTGAAATAATAATTTCGGTTATTTTCTGTATTTATTTAATTTCTCACAGTTCGACGAGCACGATTTAACTTCGATACTAAGTATTTTATTTTTTATTTTTTTGACATGTAATTAATGTACAACGAATTCACTGAAAAAGTTTTGGCATATTTTATTTGTTTGCGAACAAATTTTATTTGGAAATCACGCGTTTGCGTGAATTTGTGGAAATTCCGTAAAATTAAAAATGCAATTAGCTGAAATTATGATTAATTAGAAGCAGCGAATTTGGCTCGATTTGAATTATGCGGAAAATTTAAAAATAAATAAAATAAATTTAGCGGAAAATTTGCGTATTTTTAGTAAAGTAAATAGCTAATGCGTTAAATTAATCAAATTGTTAAAATGTCCGATTTGGTTTATGGATTCCAATGAAATGCGAAAATTGTGTTGGTTGGAAACGAAAAAAGAAACCAAATAATGAATAGATACATATGTATATAATGATGTGTGTACATATGTTGATTAAGTGAACTTAAATATTTTATATTCCAAATTTGCTAAATCGCCCCACATATTTTTCGTGAAAATTTCCAACAATTTAAACAATTTCAATTAATTGTAATCAAACTATTTTATGAATAATTGAGCAAATTGTAAATGAAAACAAATCCATTCTATTTGGTGCGATGAACTGTTAAACAGCAAAGTTTTGGTTTTATTAAGCTTGATTCCCTTTTTTTTAATATTCTCGGTATACATACGTACATACGTATGTAATCTGATTTGCTTTTGAATAATTTTATTAATTTGCAAAATATTTATCTAATAAAAAATCTGTATAGTAAATAATTGAGTAGTACACAGTCAGTCATACCTACATAGTTTGTGATTTTTTACAGCAAAATGAGTAACAAATAAATTTTAGTTTGTGACGGTATTAGAAAAAATACAATGAACTAAAACTAAACAAAACGCAATAATCTAACAAAATATAAGAACATAAAAAATTAAAAAAAAAACAAGAACTAAAAAGGGCCAATAGCATTAAAATTAAAAGGTATAAATGTACAAAGAAAACTTAAATTAAACATAAAACTGGTACTACAAAATAAGTAAAGAAAATTAAGAATAACAAAATAAAGCAAGGTAAAATTAAAAAAATTTACCAAAATAAAATAAAATATAACAAAACAAAAAAATTAAAAAAAAAAACGAAAAAGAAAATAAACTTGGAATAGAAAATTATATAAATTAAACAAATAAAAAGTAAGATAGAAAATTAAATGGTATAAAACAATAGAAAAATAAAACAAAAGAAATTCTAATTAAATAGATTGTAAAGAATAAAACTAAAAAGTCTAATTAAATATACAAAATAAAAAGCTAACTTAAAATTAAAAAATTTAACGAAATGAAGAAAATAAAAATAAAATAGCAAAAAAATTTTAAAGAAAAAAATAATTAAAAATATTTCAAATAAATTAAAAGAATTTTCGCTGTCTACAAGAAAAATTTAGTAAAATTATACGAATAAAAACTAAATAGAATGTAAAAAATAACATAAAAATTAAATAAGGTAATATAATAAGATAAGGAAATGAAAAAAATTTAACAAAAAATATAGACTAAAAAAAAATTTACAAAGTTATTTAAAACAAAATAAAAACAAAAAAGATAAAATGAAATACACAAAAAAAATAAAAAGGTTAATTTAAATAAAATACTGAATAAAGTAATGGCCGTTTTCTCAAAAAGGTTTTAAAATTTGTTCGCCCTTTAAACATAAATTTTGTTCTGAAAAAATGTGTTTAAAGAAAGGGCAGATAAATTTTAAAATCTACTTGAAAAAACAAATAAAAATAAAATAGAAAATAAAATTAAATGAGAAAATCAAAAAGAGATGTCTTACAAAATAAAAAGTATAAAAAAATAAAACGAATAAAAATAATAATAAGACATAAGTAATACTAATTTTATCTTAAAAAAATCAAGTGGAAATAATATGAGGCGTATTCTTGTTTTGGTACGATTCGAAACTTTTAAACCCAGCAGCTATATGCGCGGAGGCTAAAGCGCTGCGGACCAATTTTCGCATCTTTATAGCGTGGTCCAGATTCCGCTTTTTCAACTAGGGCATTGCTTCAAAGAAACTGCTTCTGAAAGGAATAAGTTTCCTTACTGCTGCGCATTTTTTCCGTTGATCTTTATGCCATTATTATACCCTCTATACTCTTAGATGGTTACGTCATTCTTGCTCGCATTCCTAATTCTTTAGCGTAAAACAATCTAATATGGAGACCCTTGACATCGCTAGACCTGGGAAAGAAATCCCCTATGCGACAGAGGCAGATTGTCTGACAGACCGTGTAATACGTGGACAAGAACAGTGAATCGGGAGGCAAAGCAGCTCGGGATAAGCTGAAAGGAGCTCAAAGCAATTGCCAGAAAGAGAACCAGATAACGCGCTGGAGTCTTTTATGCCCTCTTAGTACCAGTGAGCAGATAGTAGCTACATAAAGGTTCCAGAGTCGGTATGAGTCTAGCAGACTTGCTCTCAACTAGTTAAGCCAGCTTTCTTGTTATTTCCCTAGGTTGATTCCCTTCTCTGCCCGTGAGCTTCGCCCTGCTTGTTGCCTAACACATATGTATTCGACAGTGATTTTCTTTCTTAAGATGTAGACATAGGGTTTATGCTAAATAGATTCGCGCCAAGGATGAACCCCTTGCGCTGATGTTAGCTTAAGTGTGTCTAATGCCCTCAGAAGTACCCTACGTCAGCTATCGATTTCTTAAAGAAGTAACTTCTAACTAAAGTCGCCAATATGTAGTACTACTCATTCTAGTGAATGGCATGCTCACTGTCTTGCTGCTGAGCTGTTCCTTAAGGTGACAAAAAAGGGTTTCTCGATGGATTTCCTAGCCAACTTTTCCTCATAGAAAATGTTAAAATTCAGTTTTAAACTACAAACACTATATAGTATTAAAATTTCTGCACTCATCGCTGTTAAAACTTTTAGTATACATTTAAAAACAATACAAGAATTATGGAGTAATTGTATTCCAGCAGTGTTTTTGTGCATAAAGCCTTAAAACAATTTCTGGATACTTAGCGGAGAAGTATGACTAATCTCACAAAAATACATATAATTACAATATAGTTCGCTTACTTCATAAACTATTAGCTTCGCTGTCAATTTAATTAATTACTGTTTTTTTTTTTAGAAACTCACCTCAATGAGCGAGATCGCCAGCATGAAGAATGGCCAATGTAGCCTCAAATCATTCTTCAAGTACGCCGCTTCCGGATCCGCATTACAAGCGTATTTCTTCGTCTGTTGTTGTTGTTGTTGCTGATGCTGATGCTGATGTTGATGCCGCTGCTGATGGTGGTTTTCCTGCAGGTATTTTTGTTGCTGCTTTTGTTGCAATTTATGTTGTGCCTTCTCCATGTAAATGTGTTCACCGTGTCGCGTGCAGCAAGTGCTACTCGCTGTACTGCTATCGGTGTCGTAGGACGAGGACGAGGACGAGGCGGACAAAGCGGCTGTGGAAGACAGCGACGATGCCAGTGGTACCGTCACTGCTGCTGGAACAGTGGGTGTGTGGGTGTTTGTCGATGTAGGGCAGGATAATGATGTCGCTGCCGGCAATGGAATGTCAATAATGGTTGCTTCAATGGCGGGCAGTTTGTCGACGATAACAACAGTGTTTGCTGTTGGAGTTTGTTGCTGCAGTTCGTGTTGTTCAACAGCAGGGATGACCTCGTCAATGGAGTGCTTTTGCTGTTGTGGTTTTTGTTGTTGTTGTTGTTGCTGCTGCTCTTGCCATATTTGTGCCGCAAATTGCTCCATTTTCGTTTGGCTTTTTTTGTGTGTTTATTTTTCTTTAGTTTGGGTTTTTTTGCCTAGTCTTTATGCTT